AAGTTAAATAAAGTAGACGATAGCAATGCTATGGCATTCGGAGATTTAGCCACGTAAATTTTGATTATATTAAGAAAACTAGTAAGAATCAAAGCGTGAAAAGGGTTAACCAGAAATTAAAAAACCAATGAGAGAGGTGTAAAGAGCCTCGTGCATTATTGCTGGAATCTAGTAGAATAACTTTTAAATCTGTTCCGAAGAGATCGGATAAACCATTGTAGTTGGTTTATTTAGACGTTTGTGGCCCACTACCAGTTTCATCTAAGGGTGGGAGTAAATATTTTCTTGCTAATGTAGATGACTATAGTAGATTAGTAACAGTGGATATGCATGAAAAATAAAAATGAATCGTTCTACAACTTTAAGAATTATCATAGGCAAATGGAAAGACTGACGAATAGAAAACTAATAAGTATATGCACCGATAATGGTGGGGAATTCTGTAACAGGCAATTCGAAGGGTACTTAGCCGAAAATGGAATTAGTGTTGGACGCACGAACGCGTACACCCCAGAAGAGAACAGTCTGTGTGTGAACGTTTTTAATCCGAACGGCATTAGAACGCAGTTAAAGCTATGCTTAATGATGGTAAAATGGGAAAAGAATGGTGGGCAGAAGAAGCTCTTGGCTGTTTCGTACATACGTGGAACAGAGTATGTCATAAAAGCAACCGAAACCCCTTATGAAATGTTCCTAAATAGAAAAACCCAGTGTTGTTTATTTTAAAGTATTTGGTTGTAAAGCCTATGTTGGTGCATGCCAAAACAGATTAGGAAATAAATTACAAATGAGGTGCAAAGAAGGAATCATGGTAGGATATGCGAAGGAAACTAGGGGTTATAGGATATGGCTGCCAGAAGAACGCAAATTAATAGAAACCTGTAATGTGAAGTTTCGATGAAAAACAATGTATGCAGCAAATGGCATCCTGGAACAGAAATCAAAAACCTAAATTTAAAAGACTAGAGGAATCTGAGCTATTAGCAGAATCAGATGAAGAACAGGAAATTTTTAGAGAAGAAATAAAGTTGACAGATGACAAATCTACTCCAAAAGAAGTATCAGACTTAAACTGGCAAAGAAAAGCAGTTAAAAGGCCAGATGAAACACGTACAGACATATATTATTATGTAGAGGGAACAGACACCCGTTTTAGATCTTATAATGATATTGAAAAGTATTGTGAGGCAAGAAATATTAAATATGAAAAAGATAAGTTCGATTTTAGTGGAAAAAATGAATACTCGGGGAAAGTTAATTTCGTAAAACAGGAGACTAGCTCTGTGTCTGAAGAGGCAAATGCCGTAGAAATAGTTACCCCACAAAATTTTAAAGAAGCACGAAAATCAGTAAATGCCGAAGAATGGGATAAGGCAATGAAAGAAGAAATCGACACAATAAAGAAAAGAAAGGTTTGGGAATTAGTCGAAAAGCCAGAAAATAAAACTATAATAGGAAACAAAAGGGTCTATACGCTAAAAAGAAATGAAAAGAATCAAGCGGTTAGATACAAAGCACACTTAGTAGCACAGGGATTCAGGCAGAAAAGAGGTGAAGATTTTGATGATGTTTACAGTCCTGTAGTAAATTTTTCAATCATAAGAATATTTTTCACTATACTGGTATGTTTATATGGATGGACTAATTGTCAGTTAGATGTAAAGAACACATATTTATATGCAAACCTAAATGAGAAAATATATATGACCCAACCAGAGGGATTTATCGAAGAGAAAAATAAAGTATGTTTATTACACAAGGCCATTTACGGTCTACATCAAAGCAGCCGTGAATGGTTTTGTGAATTTGAAAGTACTTTAGAAAATCTACATTTTAAGAAATACAATGGTGTAATTGTGTTTATAAGGGTTCAAATGTAATTCTCTTGTTATATGTAGATGATATTGTGATTTTTAGTAAAGATCAATATAGTATAGATAAAGTAATTTCACAGCTGAGTAAGTTTTTTTGATCTTAAAGTATTAGGCAAAACTAAAACGTTACTTGGAATTGAATTCTTAGAGAATAAGAATGGGGTTTTTATACATCAGCAGAAATATATCGAAGAAATTTTTGAAAAATTTAAACATTTCCAGATACCAATAACTTCACTTCCCATAGCTAAGGGCACTATTCTTACAAAATTAGATTGTCCATCTACAAGTGCAGAAGTTGCGGAAATGCATACATTACCCTTTAGAAATCTGTTAGGATGTTTAGTTTTTGTAGCTAACAGGACAAGGCCTGATATTACATATGCTGTGAATATCTTATCACAATTTCAGGAGAATCCTGGAATTAGGCATTGTTGAAATTGCTTGGTTATCTCAATAGTACTAAATTATATAAGTTAAACTTATCAAAGATTAAACATCTAAATTTATATTGTTATTCAGATGCTGATTATGCAAGTAATAGAGATGACTGCGTGTCCATGGGAGGATTTATATTATATTTAGATGAAGTACTGGTAATCTGGAAAACTGTTAAACAAAAATGTGTAAGTTTATCAACCATGGAAGCGGAGTATATCGCCTTATCTGAAGCAGCGAAGGAATTAATGTGGACGAAAAATGTCTTACAAGATGAAATTTTAAAGTTTAATTTAAGAGAGTGTAAACTATTTTTGTGATAACAAGTCTGTGCCATTGATTTTTCTAGATCGCCAATAGAAAATCGCCAGAACTAAGCACATAGACGTAAAATATCACTTTGTTAGAAGACTAGTAATGATGGAGCATTTGACCTTGAATTTATCACCAGTAAATTAAATATACTGCCGACTTATTTACAAAAGCAGCGACTGCTGTTAATTTAAGAAAGTTTTGTTTAGATGTTTTCAGTGTTTAAAGACAATAAGTGTTTTCGTATAATAGAATTGAACTATGAACTTCTGTGAAAGTTTTGTTTTTGTCTTTGAATGGGGAAAAGAGGGTCGTTTGTTGGCTTTAGTTTTCCACATGCAAATTTTGATCGGAGGTCGATCGGCGGTAAGCTAACGTGGTTGCCGCTGATTGGCCGATGACGTCAAGATCGGCGGGTTGGCCGAGTATAATATATATGTACGCCAGTATCGGCGAAATTTTTTTGTTCTTGTTCTCTTGTGTGATTATCAGTTAGCATTATGCTAGTTTGCTTTCAATCAAATGATTTTAAATGTAAAGGCTACAGTGTTAGCTCTTTTATTTTATTTACGAAATAAAGCCTGAATTTTATTTAGTTTAGTCTTAGCTTTATTCAAGGGAAGCAAAACATGCTTTGCCTTTATCACCACTGCCAACAAAATCGATAATCCGGAATCGCCGAAGTCCCGACGAGTCCGGATTAAAGACTTTTGACTGTATGTGTGTATATCATGGGTGTCTAAACTATGACCATTTGAGGGCCGCATTGCAAAGGAAAAAGATTTGCAGGAAAAGATTAACAAAGGAAAAATATTTTTTAACAATCTGAAATAAAAATTAGCTCTATGTTGTTTTATTAAAATAAATTAACTTCTTTTTATTATGAACTTTTTAAATTTGAATTGGTATGTATAGGTACATATTTATTATTAATTTGTAAAAGATTTGTTTCATTTAGTTTGGCTTTCATAAAGATGAAAAAAATTCAAGTTAATGAGATGGATGAATTTGCTTTTGTTGAAAATAATTGTTCACAAATATAGGTACTGCCAAAGGACGAAGACATTAATAAAGCATGCTTGTAAAAATTAGGATATTTATTGTGGGGTAGATAATCTTTATAAAACTCCACCACAGAAACATTTTCAAATTTTTCTTTCGGTTAAATGTCACTTTGCAGTTAATACATCATGATTACTAAGATGTGTTTACTTAAATTTTTATTTTAAAATAAATACCAATGAATCCATTATATATGAATTCAAACAATTATTTTTTTTAATAAAAATTTGCAGATTTAAATACTTTCATAATTTGTGTTTGGGCCACACTTTTGACACCCATGGTGTATATAAAGGACCGCAAAGAAGATTATTGCAAGCTTGTGAAAAAGGTTTCTTAAATTATATAAAAATAAAAATTAGTAAATGCTAACACATGAATATAATACAGATAAAACTATATACAAGTGAAATATGTTAAAAATTAGTTCTTCCACTTTGGTGGAAAAACATATTTCCTTCAGCCAGCAATTTGCATTTAATGAGCTAGAGGGTACATGGGATTGTGAACTACAGTTCAGCTGTGTCTTGTCTGTAATTAATAATTTTTTCAAGACATTCACTGCTGCACATTGCAGTTACTCTGTGGTAATTATTCTCATGGTATTTTTACAGTTTACTTTTTTCTAAATACTTTATGTAGTTTGGATTTTTAATAGTCAATCATCAAAAGAAAACACATCTTTAACAAGCAAAACAAAAAATTTAAAATTTTACAATTTCAGTATATCATAAGTAATATCACAACTTCCCACACCAACAATTTTAAAGATCATCTACTACTTGTAGAAGTTTTTAAAATAATACATTTTTCTAAAGCTATGAAACTTGCATCTTTTTTCACTGCTTAACAAAAAATTTTCAAGCTTTCACCAACAGGGTGCTAGTCTCCTCAATATAAGAAAAGCTATTTAAAAAGTGATCTGAATCATAATTTTTTAATAATGTTCTTTTCTTAGCAGCTTCAATGGTTACAACTGAGTGAAAAGTAATCCGGAAACTCACAAGATCACCTTAGCTAGGTGACTTTCCAGATTTTATTACATAAACATACAGCTATACAGCTATGATATATTTTACTTTATCTAAAATAGATCTTAAAGTAATATTTTATGTATTTAATTATATCATTACTGCATATGATGAAGCAATCAAAAAATACCATTTTCTTTTTAACATGAAATAATATTTTCCAAAAAATGTAATACAATAAATAACATAAGTTATAAAATCTCACAAGCTCAAGTAGATGAAAATAGAAAAAATTTACATGAAAATTTGTTAAATTTTCATGTAAATTTGTTATTATACTTACTGATTATCACAAAATTCTGTTCCCATATAACGTATCCAGGTAAACATAATCATATAATGTACACCACACACCATGAAGAGATAAGTAGGGAAGACAGAGGCAAATAGGCCCAGGGCAAGAACACGAGCACCAATATCAAAGAACCTCCAAATAATTTGCACAACTGTACCACATATTGTCATATTCTTTTTATCTTCCAAAGAGTAACGTAAGGCACGTTGGTATGATGCTAAGGCCCAAGCCATAGACAGCAAAGACGAGCACATGGAAACAAGTTGTATTAATTCTGAAATAAATAAACATATATATATATATATATAAAAAGAGACAAACATAATAGTTAAAAACAATATTCAGTATACAGACCAGATTCTACAATTATTACTTGAAATATTTTTTAAAGAAAAATATCCAGCAAAATGAAAAAAAATTAAGGGTGCAATAAGTCCTAACGCTCAGAATGAAATTCAAGCACAGGTTACTATTACTGCAATATTCTATGCTTGAACTTAGTTCTAAATACTTTTTTAATGTGATTAAAAAGTATTTAATTCAATTAATCAACTAAATATCAATTAAAAATATTTAATTAAATTAATCAATTAAATATCAATTAAAGATTACAAAAGACTGAAACTTAACACACTTTAAAATGCAATTTTATTTTATGATGAATTGAAATGAAAGCACAAAAAATTATTAGCTGCTTCAATTTTCATATATTCAATGATATGAAGTAACCTAGCAAGTATTAAATTACTTCACATGCACATGGTCATGAAATCAAATCAAGAATTACTAGAATGCATAACGTATCTTATCATATTAACTGTAAATTAAGTTTAAATTAAGAAAATAAATGATGAAATAATGAAGAAACATTAAAATGTTACATTTACTTTGATAAAACTTTTGAATATTAATGCTTCTGCAAACCAACAGGTGCAAAAATCAAGTTTTGATAAAAATTGCCTTCGAAAATGTCAAAGATGAATTTTTGGAATTCTAACAGTAAAAGATAGTTGAAATTCAACAGGCATACAAATCTCTCCTTTTGATTCTCTACAACATCTTTTTTTTACACTATTTTTGGAGTTTTTCACATTTTCTACATTCTTTTATAACATGGATGAAAATTGTTGAGACATTTAACATCCACATTTTGAGATAAATTAACTCAATTTCAGCAATTTTTTTTTCATCTCATCATAAGGAAATAAAAAATATTCCCAGAATAAATATAATTAAGCAATTACTTCAAAAATGTGTTCACAAATACGCTGTAAAAAAGAACTGCATGGAAAAAGACAGTAACGATTAAAAATATAGATTGATTAAAAAACGATTAAAAATGTGTTATTCAGAAAAAAATTTAAATTATGACAAAAGCTATTTTATTCAATGTTGTTCAGTGCAGTTTTTATAACAAATGTCATCAATCAATTAAAAAATTCATTTATGAAAATGTACAATAAGTAAAAATTAAAAAAAAATGTATTCTTATGATATTGGTATATCATTTTGTGTGTTATTTTCTTAAAATATATTTATTTACAAAATAAGATAATGTAGTGCTTATACATTAGGCAGCACCTACCAATACACTCCCAATACATCCCATCTGACTCTTTTTCTTTGTATATTTAGTTTTGACTAAGGTAGGCATAGCTTTTTTATTTTAATGCCTTCTCGCTGAAAGTTCCAAGCTTTGTTTACCGCACGTTAATTTTTACTGCATTTTGCATGATGCATTCACTAGTTTTGCTGATAAATGAAATAGAAGCAATCCAATTTTATATGTTTCTTACTTGCAGTCCTTTTCCAAAAAATATTGAACTTTACATTTCTTATGCAATGGAATGCTTACGAGAGAAAATATATGACAGATATGAAATAAAAATAACGGTTGGCAAACTGTTGGGAGAAAAAATTGGGAATTGGTAAAGAGAACCTACAGTTTTTTTATCTGAAGATGTCTAAAAGTTGCTGAATTGTTATATGTCTATCAGCTTTTACCAAAGAAAAATTTTTACATATTTTTATCATTCTTTGAAGTTGAAGGGCACCGTATCTTTGGTTCATTTTCAACGCTTTTGCATCCACATGTAAACAGTTTGTTAGATTGGTCACTGGTGCTACAATGACAGCTTATTTTCACATACCACCATTTCACGAGTGTACTGTGAGCATCGGAAATCCAGTAAAACATCAAATCTCCCATATCAACTGCGGCTGGAAAAAAGTTCACGAAAGAATAAGACCAATCATGACTGACAAGAACCATTAAATGTGACAGACATGCAACCCTTCCTCAAATCACTGCAGATTCAATGCTGAGGCATCAAGAAGTGCAAGCGTACAAACTATTCAATGGATTTTGGAGCTGAAGGCTTACTTGTGTACCGCTGTTGATTGCAAGACACAAAGCTTTACGCCTTTCCTTGGCCCGGCAACACTGTCATTGGTTTGGCGATGACTGGAAGCACATTGCCTGATCTGATGAGTTTCATTTAGAATTGCATTTGGTGAATGGGCATGTATGGCTATGAAGACAGCCTCATGAATCCACTGATAAGGGTCATGGTATGGGCCATGTGCAATTGGTGTAATATGGGACCCCTGACACGACCAGATACAACTCTGTCAGGTGACAGATACATAAAGATCTTGCCTGATTACCTGCACCAATTCACGCCCACTGTGCATTTCGATGGATTTAGACATTTCTAGCAGGACATCCGTGGAGAGTTGCTACCAAGTGGTTTCAGGAACACTCTTCTGACTTTAGACATGTCCATTAGACATCTAAGTTCTCAGACATGAACATTATTGAGTATATCAGGAATGCCTTGCAACATACTGTTCAGAAAAAATCACCACTCCTATGGATTTCTGGATTGCTCTGCATGATTTATGGTGTGAATTACCTTCAGCACACCTTCAGGTATTAGTTGAGGTCCATGCCATATCAAGTTGAGGCACTTCTGTATACTCGCACGGGCCCTACACGATATTAGGCATACCAGGTTTTTTGGCTCGTCAGTGTACATTCATACACTTGTGTTCTTGATAATGATGCATCACCATATACTGTTCAAATAATCTGCAGCATTTCGATAGCAGATTTAACTAATTTGTAACAACATTTAATGTTATAATGCATCTTGAAGTAAACCTTTTTGTACAATGTCTTCTTAATATATAAAAATGACTCTGGCATTTTGATATGCAAAGGACAAAATAGTCAGTTGAAACCGACTTTAACAAGAGTTGAGATATCACTCTTCCTAAATACAAATTTATTCGGTTAATCTTTGGATTATGGTAACTTGGCAATTTTTTGGAGAAAATTTTGCGACCAACCCTGCTACAGCAACCTGCTAGTTTTTGTTTGGATGCCATTTTGTTTTCACAAAGTAAAGGCATTTTTTTTTTTTTAAATTTTTTTACTCAAATTTTTTTTCCAACAATCTGCTAGCCAATTACACTTATGCTAGAACTTTTATGGAACAAAAGTGCTTAATCATGACGAAGATTAGGTGCAAAATTGGGAGAAAGTGCAGAATCGCAAACTGCTTGCCACGTTTTTAAGAACTGCACATACACCGTATCCATGTACACGTCACCATGTACACGTAATATTTTCACTTAAAAAAACATCCATTGCGCACACTCTTGACTTTATCCATGTACACTGCTAAAGTCCTAGCTAGTAACCTCGGTTGATCTTTACATTATGGTAACTTGGCAATTTTTGGCGAAAATTTGGCGACCAACTCCTACACAACCCTCTATTTTTTTTCCCCGCCGCCATTTTGTCTTCACGAAGTTAAAGACACGTTTTTTTTTTTATATCCTGAACACTTCTTCCACAATGTACTAGCCCAATTACACTTATGCTAGAAATTTATCAAACAAAACTGCTTAATCATGACAAATATTCACTACAAAATTAGGAGAAACTGCACAATACCTTTCTTCTTAGCATTTTTCAAACTACACATACACATAACCTGTCACCCGACTTATTTTTACTTGAAAAAACATCCCCAGAATTGCACAAAAATGGCATTGCCCACTTCACTATATCCATGTACACTGCTTTTTTCTCTCATAAATTACAAAATTCCGAAAATACATTACAATTTTTCTCAATCTTAAACCCAGTAAAAAGAAATATATGAAATACATGATCGCGAAAAGTATTTACCCTTTACAAATATGAACATTTCCACATATAAAATAAATAGAATATCCAAAAACTTTTACCTCTAAATCTCTATTACATTATACAACGTCACCAACAATTCATACCTCAAGCATTACAAATACTTAATATCAATATTTAATTATTTCCATGCACGTTTTATTTCAACTTAAACTTACCAAATTCCTACAAACATAAAATTAACAAAATAATTATCATTTCATTAAAATATAATTAAACAAAAACACTACTTAAAATATAAGAGCACATACATTAAATAATAAAAATTACTTACAATCCTAATTACTTTAACTAAATCATTGCTAATAACAATTTTCCATAATACCAAATCTTTCCACCTACATTTACAACATGCATAAAAAATAATATCCTCAAATAATTAAAAATACTAACTTACCTATCTTCTTCAGAATTTGATTACGTGGCATACACTTTTTTACTTCTGTTTCAGAATCTTTAAAATCATATTATCTTTCAAAGCAAGATACAGGTAAAATAAATAACATAATAAAACATCTTTATTTCTCTCTCGCACACCTTAAAAAACATTTATTACTATCCTTTTCAATACACTAATACCCATTGAATTCACTTTAGTTAGGCCATGGATCCAAAATTCACAACACTATTTCACACAACACAGAATAAAGCCAAATACAAAATTGCCAGATTTTTTCCCGATTAAGAACAGTAATTCGTCCATTAATATCACATAACATATCCCATGATCTCTCATTTCCCTCACACAAAATAATGCGTAATCAGAACTAAATACTACTCACATTCTTAACAAAGTCTAACTAACCTAATCTTCTTCCGAATCTTCCTTACATGGTGGATACACTTTTATTATGGATTCAATAAAATTACTGAACGATTTTGTTTCCCAATTTGATAGAATTTCATAAAAAAAAATTCTCGTTATCACATCTACAATTCACTTTAGACAGCGCCATACAATCCCAAAATTATTCAACCCTACTTCACACAACACGAATGAAGCTTAATAATATACATCCACAGATACTTGTCCAAATTCCCCCCTTTTCCGATTAAAGAACCGTAATTCGTCCATTAATATCACATGACATATCCCATGATCTCTCATTTTTCCCACACAAAATAATGCGTAATTGGAACTGAGTACTGCTCACATTATTACCAAAGTCCCAGGTAGTAACCTTTATCGCCTCCAAAATGTCGCCAAACTACCTGTTACCATATCGTAAAGATCAACCGTAACCTCTATCGCCTTACCAAAATGTCGCCAAACTACCTGTTACCATATTCCAAAGATTAGATATTTATTCTGTGACCTTTTTTAATTTGTGGCTTTATCTTTTAATTTGTTCGTTTACTTTATGGGTGCACATTGTAAAATCAATTTCATCTTTTCAAATATAAAAATATTTTATATTTTTCAAATATAAAATATCAATTAAATTGATATTTTATATTAGTTTCAATCTTAATTTTCAATTTACATTCGGTCCTTCAATATAATTTTAATTTCAATTTTTTACAATTTGAGTTTAAACAAAAATACCAGCATCTTCAATTCCTCATCTCTGTTTTGATGCCTAACAATAGTACATTCAAATTACTTATTCACTGCACTATACAGACATTAATTTTGATATATCTAAGTCTCTTATTGGATACAAAGTAACTACAATTGAAATACTTAAAAAAAAAAAAAAAAAAAAAAAAAAAAAAAAAGAGCTTTCTTTAAACTTGTAAATTATGAACAGAAACTATGAAAATTCATGATTATAGCAAATAGTAAAGTATAAATACTTCCCTAATAATTAAATGACACATTCTGGACATAAAAATTGGAAGTTATTGAGCTATGGACTGAATACTAGATGCTTTTAGCTAATTACGTGTAGAGTAGTAGACTTTAAAATACCCTTTGTATTATGGTGAAGTTTTTGTTTGACTTATCGCCAAGTTGTTGTTTTATTTTTGGTAGCCTGAGTAGTTGAATGCTATGGAAACCCTACTGTGACATAATCGGTGCATGATTCTGGGAAATTTTTAATCATGGGATGTTTTGTAAGCGTTTTTGTGGTGTGTGTTAAAACCGTTTAGATGGATTTGAATGGCTTTGTAGGAAGAAAGGTTCAGATGGTCACTATGTGAAGAGTTCGATCAGAAAGAGTACCTGGTTTGAAAAAGTCATTTGAGTACGATTGATATTTTGATTTTTACCTGGCTCTGGGTGTACGAAGCGAACTCGAAAATCATGGTATGTGAATATTTGCTTTTGGTAGTGCTTAAATATATAACATGTTTTTCCTTTTTTATGTTATTTTATTGTTTGGTTTAAAATGTATTTTATTGAGATTATGTATTTTTGTTTGCCTATATTGTAGACTTTGGTGCTCCTTTGACTTTTTAAGTGAAAATATATCAATGCGTACATGGACAGAGTAAAGGGAGTGTGCAATGCAAGTTTGCGCAATTCTGGGATTTTTTTTTAAGTGAAAATAGGTCGACGTATACATGGATAAAGTTAAAAGTGTGCGCAATGGCATTTTTGTGCAATTCGGGAATTTTTTTTAAGTGAAAATAGGTTGACGTGTGCATGGATAAAGTCAAAAGAAGTGCGCAATGCCATTTTTGTGCAATTCGGGTGTTTTTTTTAAGTGAAAATAAGTCGATGTGTACATGGATACCGAGTTTGTGCAACTGCTTGTCTTGTTATTTTGGCTTTGTGTAGCGGCGTCGCAAGCCAAAATAACGAGTCAAAGAATTGCACAAAATCGGTATCCATGTACCGCCAAAAATCGGCAAGGGGTACCCTAAACTATACTTTTACCGCTGATTACATACAATTACTTTTTTAATGCATTCATTCAATCACTGAAGGCTCATTCTTTAATTATCTCCCCTCCACATAAAAATATTAAGCATATTCAAGTATTTTCAAAAATTTACCTGTCCAGCTATAAACATCAGGGGATGCTGAATGTGACAGTGCAAATATGTAAATTTGAAGTACAAGTTGAGGAGCAGCTTCCATGAAACATTCAAACAAACGTAGTAATGTAGCATCTGCATCCTCATAGATCATCAGCTTGTAAAAATCCACTTGTTCTTGAACTTTACCTTTACTTCGATTACTTTTCAAACCATAATATAAGGAATCTACATATCTAAATTTGTTAAAACATAAAAATGTGATAACTGTTTTATAGAGTCACAACAATAATCACACAAATTTATCTGAAAATTAAAGCAACTCGATTTCCATAAAATGAAAGTATAAATAACATCACATACTGAAACTTAAATCATCTGAATACATTCCTCGTACTTACGTTTTCACAACAAATTTTCCCTTTTAACAAGCAATGCCTTCATTTTTTAATGCATTCTTTTTGTTGTACTTGTTCCACTGACATTTATTAACAAATTGTGATATTTTCTCACTCAAGTTCAATTTTAAAAGATACACTTGTGGGATTTGTTTGCAATAAAAATAAAACTTCTGCAGATAAATAGCATTTTTCTGCAAAATTGCTAACAGGAACAATTGGTTTGAAACTACTGAAGTCATCACCACCAGATTCTCTACCTTTGTGTATCGGATACAAGCCAAAATAACAAGTCAAAGAATTGCACAAGCTCGGTATCCATGTACCGCCAAAAATCACCAAGGGGTACCCATAAATATAATTTCACCAGCAAATGGCATTCTAAATTCCTGTGTATAAGTTTACATTTTACCTTTGTATAGCTTACTTACTTAATAAAATATTTCATAATATATATCACTTCAGTCTTTACATATTATTCTGACCTATATTCACAATATCTGCAAAAAAGTATTCTGTTTGCTGTAATACAAAAACTTAACTTGGTCCTTGAACATACAAAAGTTGGCCACCTTTGAAACAAAAGTGTTAAATTGACTAAATTATTTAAAACTTTTCTAAATCTAAAGGGGGAAAGTGCAGAATGATCCACTGCTTGGCGCGTTTTTAAGAATTGCACATATTCAGTATCCATGTACACATCAACCTATTTTCACTTAAAAAAGCATCCCAGAATTGCACAAAAATGGCATTGCGCACTCCCTTGACCTTATCCATGTACACATCCACCTATTTTCACTTAAAAAGTCAAAGAAAATTGACAAACATCCAATTCTTCTTACACTTGTATAATACGCCAAACAAATTAGTGGGCGATTCTGCACTTTACTGATCTAAATTCTGAGAGTTATTAAATTTTCTATTACAGACTTCGGCTGTTTATTGTTCTGATAAAAAAACGGAACAAGCATTATTAGTGAATAGCAGTATATTAAAAATAATAATTAAGAGATTTAAACATAAAGCATTACCTTAATATTGGTCCCATCTGTAGCACTAAGAAAATGATTCTTAGTGTCCATCTTCGCATCGAAACTGGTGGCAACTTTTTCTCATCAGCATCCACTAAATACCACCTAAGACTGAAACCAGTCATCGTGAGAGAAGGCACAGCAATAAAGCATACCGTTAGAGTAAAAAACCAAGTATTGCCATTGTTGTAATGAACGATTGCAACCAGTAAGTCTAAGGCTACATCAATAAAGAAACTGCATATTGAAATTATTATACCCAAAATGTCAAGCAGTGTAAATTTTAGAGTCTTCGGTAAGGCATCAGTAGTATCATAGCCTTTTATTCTAATTTTTTTCAAGAAAGGTCCAGAATTCCGCTCTAATTTCGAATTAGGTATTCGACCATCCAAATCTGAATCATCTTGAGAATCTGTGGCAGTATCATCTCGAGGTTTATTCGGCTCACTCATTGCCACTTTTTCATTCATTCAATTACACTGTTATTGTGTCCAGCTGTATATTACTAGCATGTTTATAGATTTTAAATAAAGAAAAGCGCAAAACGGGAAATACGGAAAACTGAAAAAAATTATGGGAAGGAAACGGAAAAGTAAACAAAACGATAAGTTGAGATGTTTCTAACTTTCTCAAATGATGTTTAAAAGCTACTATCTTTCTGTGTCCGTCTCAGAATTTAAATATAACAGGTTTTTTTTCCACCCAGGCGCTAAGTAAACATTTTTGAGCTCCTACTTATCGGAGCAATTTAAGGGAATGCTTCAACCAGGGAAAAAAATTCAAGAAATTTTCCAATGTTACAGTACAGAAAAAAGAAAATTTTCAAAACACATTTAAGACCCATACGTAAAACTCAGATTTTAATTAGCAAGAGATGAAATGTCTCTATTTCAATGCATCTCTTTAATTGAAAACGAAAATATTTCATCTACAGAAGTGAACTGCGTTGTGACGACATCATTTGTGATACTGATTTTTGTTTCGCCAGAATGGCAACATTAAACCACAGTGGAATCAAAAGAAGAATGACTGTTTTTAAGCTTTGTGAAGTTCCATATGAAAAAAAAATAAATAAATGTTAATCTGATCGGAGTCAGAGAAGTATCAAGCATTTTCCTACATTCCAGACACTTCACTGATTTGATCCAATGCTACTTATCGGTGTAAGAAGAACGTACGACGTTTCCGTAACATAAAATATCGATATTCCACGCATGTTATAAATAGTTCACTTGTTAGTAAATATGTGTTACGGACAGTGTTGTAAGGAACTACTTGCCTATCGTAAAGTTCCGTAGTCTTTTTCTCAGCTCGACAGTGGATTGAGTAACAGTTTCGATTTAGCAGTGCTTTTGTGTTCGTGTAGATTACATTAAGAATTGCTGTTTCGATTATTTTTATTCATCTGAAAAGTGTAAAATTTCGAGCATACGTTTGACTGAAATACATTTGAAATGGGGTAAGTCAACTTTAAAAATCTAAATTTTGTTCTATATTGGAATACGTCTTCGGTGTTAATGTATACAACCAGGCTGATAAATTTATTGAAACTTTCTGAATGCATCAAATGCGTTAAAAGGGAGCGAAGTAAAAAACTAGTTTTTACTAAGCAATCTTTAACTGTAAAAGCTTAAGCTATAAAAAATAAACTGAATAAAGATCACAGTACATCCGTTAAGCCTAATTCTACTATTGCTGACGAAGATGAAAATAAACAAACTGAAACTAATGCAACAACTGCGACTGTCCCCAGAGTCAGCATCGAAATTCCTCCTTATTGGAAACCTGGGCCCAAACTACGGGTTCTTCAGTTCGAAGCCCAGTTCCGCAATGTTGGAATTACGGCTGATCAAACAAAATACGATTATGTAGTCAGTTCTATTGAAGCAGGGACATTGTAACAAATCGCTGATATTCTCACCAAACCACCAGAGAAAGCAAATATCTGGCCATTAGGAAGAGGCTTATTGAATTTTTTGCCGATTCTGAAGTACAGAAAACTCAGAAACTGGGTGATAGGAAACTATCCCAACTTATCTGCGGAATGTGTAACTTGGCGGCTGAGCAAGTGCCGGATGAATTTTTGAAAACATTGTGGATGCAACGACTACCACTTAACATGCGGAGCATTTTGTCTGTAAACAATGATGATTTGTCCAAACTCTGTACAATGGCTGACAAATTATGGAAATTAAATCCCATCCACCGCAAGTAGCTCACATTGCTTCTCTAACATCTGATAACGTTATAGCCCAAGATCTACAGAAACAGATATCAAACTTGACACGGCAGACAGCATAAATAAATAGGCGTGGAAATTCCAGTCCACAAAGACGAAGATAGAGATCGAATTCAAGAAATCGTTCCAAAAATAACAGTCACACAAATAACCGTTATTTTCATCAAAACTTTGGCGAGAGAGCTTACAAGTCCACCCCGCCATGCAAATACCGAGGTCCAAAGCAGGAAAACTGAATTCCCGGCCTTCGATGACGACCGAAAGTCACGGGGTTCAGCTGAGTCTTCTATACATTCGTGACAACGCATCAGCAACCCATTTTTTAATTGACACCAAAGCAGGAATATCGGTTATCCTACCATTACCATTGGAAAAAAGAACTGTGGCTAAGCTTGAGCTGTTTTCAGCTAATGGTACTACAATCAAAACATATGGTCAAAAATTATTAGAACTGGATTTAGGGCTACGCAGATCTTTCATCTGGCTTTTTATCATTGTGGATGTCAATAAACCGATCGCTGGAATGAACTTTCTTTCACATTTTTATTTGTTAATCGATAATAAAAATAGAAAATTAATTGACGGCACCGCATCCTTAACGACTAAAGGTACTTTGAGTAGCAATAGCGTCACTTGTAAATGCATTGCTAATACTTTTCAAAACCAATACAGAGCCATTCTAAATAAATCGCCAGACTTACTTAAACCCACGATATAAATAAGATTAAAGAACGTTCTACATTCCCCGGTGTGGTGACTAGGTGCGAAAGAATAGTCCCAGTGTAGCTCATGCATGTCGTAAGACGCGACTAAAATGGTACCCAGCGTCCGGGGGTATAGCCGGGCAGCCTGCCCCTGGTGATTATATCAGGGGCCTGGTCCTCCAGGTTGAGCGTGGGGCTAACTACTCCACCCTGTAAAAAATTCCAGTTCGGAAATCTGATGGGCTAAATCATGGACGGATACCACCCAGACGACAGAGAACAACAACGGACTTGCGTATTCGCACTTGAAATGTGCGTATACTGTATAAGGGTGGAGCACGTAAAAATCTGGTTGATATGTTTGAGAATTATAAATTAGACATTTTGAACATTTCAGATGGCTTGGCCGACGAATTTTGGATAAAAGACGATTCAGTGCTTCATATCGTTGTCAGGACCTTGAGGTAGGATTTGTGGTAACTAGGAAAATTAGAGACATCAAATTTATGAAAGAATTTGTAAAGTGAGAATTCAGATTATCCTCAAATTATTAGTATTATCAGCGTACTTGCACCTACTGAGGACAAATGCGAAACTATTAAGGATGATGTTTATGATAAACGTGATAAACTCAAATGATATGATGTCGCTAACGAGCTGGCTGCATGGGCGTTTTCGTGGTTTTTCTCCATGTGTAACGTGTATACGAACCAGTTTTCCTTAGAAAATCCACGAAGGCATTCCTCCCCTTAGGCAGATAGCCCTAGTGTGCTTTGCGATAATTAAATAAACCAAACCAAATGATATGAAACTGATTATTGGCGACTTTAATGCAAAGATTGGCGTGAGATTAATTAGGAATTCTGTGGATAATCACAATTTACAGGAGGAAAGTAGCGATAATGGTATAAGATTAGACAAGACTTAATGATTTTGCAAATGAAATGAACTTATTATAGCAGGTACCTTCTTTGTACCATAGAAATATACATAAAGTCACATGGCGCTCCACAGATAGAAAAACATTAAATCAGATTGATCTTTTCCTGGTGGATCTAAGACACCGAATGTGCCTGTTTGATGTCCGCAGTTGTCGTGGAGCCAATATTGACTCCAATCACTTTCTGGTGATTTCCAAGCTAAGATAACTAAGACCGTTTGGATTAAACATAGGTATGGAATCTTGGATGTTGACTTGTAGCCTCGGCTACTGATGTTCAAACTAAATTATTATTAGGAACAGAAAAAATTAGAAACAAGTACTTAAAGCTTTATTTTTTATCAAAATGAATTAGAATAAACTATTTAAGTTAATTTTATAAAATAATTAAACACATGAAAAATATAAATATTGAAATAAAAAATAATTATTTCTCATGCAATAACTGGGCCACTACACTACTCCCCCACCACCAGTAACTAAGTTACGTTACGAAGATGGAGAAATAGGTAGTAACTAGTATTGCAGTGTTAACCACTATCAAAATAATTTAGTCCTAATCCTAGTTCTACCTGTGCGAGAAGGTTTTTGATTCACATCCGAATTTGAGTCCGGTCTCTGCAAATTTGTTGTAGTCAGGTTTTGTATCAACTGAGAATTTTCCTCAGCTAAAATATATGCTGGTTTCAGGCGATCCAGGGATACATTAACATGTTTTTCCTTTTGTGCTAATAGTAAAATATTTGTCCTTGCGATCAATAACAGGAAATGGTCCTTCATAAGGAGGTTCCAAAGGTTTTTTTATCCGATCTATTCGCTGAAACACATGAGAACAAGTTTTTTTTAAGTCTTTATGGACAAATATCTGTTCAGATGAATTTTTACGAATTAGTCTCGGTCCAACAACTTCCCATCTGTTTCTGGAGTTTATTAGCAAAAGTCTCCGATGCTGTCTGGATACTTGGTTCGCTGAAAAACTCGCCAGGAAGTCTGAGACTCTGGCCATAAACTACTTGCGCAATAGAATGATTTCTTGAATAGTGCTGTTGAATAGTTTACAAACCCAAAAGTACTGTTGGTAACGTGTCCGTCCAAGATATGTTGTGTTGTGGGCTTTTAATGTTTTTCAATGTTCGAAGGCGCTCAACATTGCCATTACACGAGGGGTGGTAGGCAGTAGTGTGTTGTAAATTGATGCCACAGATTTTGGACAAAGCTCGTAATGTATCACTTTTAAATTGGGATCCACGCGATCACTAATGAGTTTACTTGGCGTTCCGAAACGCGCAATCCAGTTGCTATAAAAGGTTCTTGCGACGTTCTCAGCAGAAATATTTTCTAAAGGAATTGCTTCCATCCAATTCGAAAATCTATCTATGCAAGTAAGACAATAAATATTCCCTTTAGATGGTGGAAGTGGTCCTATGAGATCGATATGGATGACAGAAAATCTTCCTGGTGATACTTCAAACTCACCTAATTTTGTTTTGGTGTGCCGATTGATTTTAGCTTTTTGGCAATGAATGCAGGTTCTTGTCCACACTGTACATCTTTTTTATGTTAGGCCAAATGAATTTTGATGTCATTAATTTCATAGTCGATTTTATTCCTGGATGTGATAAACCATGAATTCTTTGAAAGACGTGTTTTCTGAAAGCCTGAGGAATATACGGCCGAACATGTTTAGTTGATGTATCACACCACAAATA